AAGGCTACTTAATGGAAACACGTAGCAAGTGGTTATTTTATTTCTCACATAAAGTGAGGAATCAACCCGAGGATTGGCAAGAGGTGAATTCTCTGGGTCTCTTTGGCTGGTGGGCAACCACAATACCAACATGAGGAGGGCCTAAGAGTGGTCAGCAGGCATGGCCACCTGAGGCAAGATCCATTCCACCTGGAGGGTAAGGACTGAGCTCAGTCTTGAAAGATGAGCAGATTTTGCTTTTCATTTGATATGCATGGATTAAACTTGAACTGTGTGCCCATCACCATTAGACCTGGGACCTCTGGGTGGACTAAGTCATGACTTTCACCATGGGGGAGCTCACAATCCGTGGGAGGGGGGCTGATTCATCAGTGGCTGCAGTCAGGTGCAGGGGATGGGGATGGCCAACTATGGCCTGTGGTACCCGTCAGTCTTTCTTTCCTACCTCCCTTCCCCCTCCCTCATCCGTCCATCCGTCCCTCTGTCCCTCCTTCCCTCTTTCCAGCCATTTATTTTAGAGAGTGCATGCATGCGTGGGCTCATGAGTCAGGGGAGGGGCAAAAGGGGAGAAACTCAAGCAGCACACTGCAAGCTGAGTGCAGAGCCCAATGCGGAACTTGATCTCATGACCCTGAGATCATGACCTGAGCAGAAACCAAGAGTCTGATGCTTCATTGACCGAGCCACCCGGGGTGCCCCAAGCTGAAAATGATTTATATAAAGTGAAGAAAAAACAGGGATGGGTATGGGGGTCTCCTGCCACTGCCTCGTTGTGTGTGTGTGTATGTGTTTCTGGACAAGCCGATCCCCATCTGGCCCTTTAGATGACGGCTCAGTGTTTATGGGTTAGAATTGCAGCACACCTGGCACCCCCCCCCAGGCTATAGGGACACAGCTAAATCCGACTGGGGGAGTCAGAGAAGGCGCCCCCAGACGAGGAACTGCAAGAACAAACATCCGACACCTCTTCTACTTTAAATATACCAGCTTCCCTATCATCCTTCCTTGATTTTTTTTTTTTAAGATTTAGTTGTTCTTTCATCTGCTGCTTATCAAATGTGGCTTCAGTTGCTCTTGTCACTGTTGATTGTGTTTCTCTTCGTTTCTCTGAAGCAGAGTTTCTTAACATGAAACCTGTGGATGGGGCTTCAGGGGTTCTTTGAACCCCTAGCCTGAAAGCAAACTGATGCGTGTACATTTACCTGGGCAGAGGGCTCACGAATCTGTCCTCAGGTTTTTAAGGGATCCCTCCTTCAAGCAATTTTGAGAGGCGGTTTTAGAGTGGCTTTGTCAAAATGAAAATCAGTGTTGCTGCTGGTGAGTCTGGCCAGCGCAGGATGAAGCAGAGGGATGGTGAGCTCCATCTGTTGTGCGTCCAGGCCGAGGTTCCAGTAGCTTTGCTGGCTCACTTGACGCTGAGTGAGCAGCTCCTCTCAGAGTACCATGTGGCCAGGCTGTGGGCATAGTTGCTGTTTTAGGGGATACAGGGGAGATCAGAGGATCTCAGCCCAGCTGCTGAAGGAACGTAGAGAAGAACTAAGGTACCAACAATTGTTCTGGAAGATGCAAGCCCCGGGTGTGAGTGCGAGGGGTTCCAGGGAGACGGGAGAGGTGCTGCTTGGGTGCACCTCTCCACAAGGCGTGAAGAACCATATCTGTGTTCCCGTAGCCTCCTGACTCAGCCCAGCACTTCTCCAGGAGGGTGGCCAGGAGGGGCGACACCTCCAAACTGCCTCTGGCAGGGAGAAGGGAGGGTGGATCTACTTGCTGGCCTCACCCCCATGTCCTTTTCATGTTGTGACTGTCCCACGAGGCGCCAACCCTGCTTGCCATGACGCTGGCATTGTCCACCCCTCAGGGACCTCAGGAAGCTGGGTACTGCTCTCTTCAGCGTGCTGGTCTAGGCTGAAAGCAGAGGGGTGCCCAGTGAAAGGGAGGATGACACTCAAAACAGAGATGTTGGGGGTACTGAGGGCGTCAGTGAAGGTGCACAGGCTGTTTCTAGCGGCGGGGAAGGCAGGCCTCTGAGCAAACAGCAGGTGGAATGAGGGGCAGAGGCAACCAGTGACTGAAGGTAAAAATAAGTGAGTGGAGAGGCGAGAAGACCATCCTGCTGAGGTTCATGCTTCTACACACCCAGCTCATGTTGAAGCCTCCAGCCTGTGCCCAAGGGTGCAAGGGGCGAAAACAAACAGACACGGTCTCCTCTTTCATCCAGTGCCTGAGACAGATACCAGTCACTTGATCACACTCACTAGTGTAGAACTGCGAATGACGAGTGGCCTGCCCCGAGAGCCTCCACGAGACGGAGGGCAACACGACGGGAAAGGCCTGAGAAGGCTTTCCAGGCCAAGTGGCGTGTGAACTGAAATAGAAATGCTGGGTAAGAGTTTAGGGCCAGAGAAGAGCTGGGCGAGCCCTTTAGGCTGGGGGATACCATGCCCAGAGGCCCCATGACAGGATGGCATGTGGGAAATGGATGGTCAAGAAGAAGGCCAGCGTGAGCAGAGCACAGAGCACCAAGGAGGGTGGTTGGGGAGGAGGGGCTAGAGGGTACTAGAAGTCCTAGCCTCAACAATCAGGCAATGAAAAGAAATAAAAGGCATTAAATTGGCAAAGAAGAAGTCAAACTCTCCTTCTTTGCCGATGACATGATACTCTACATAGAAAACCCAAAAGTCTCCACCCCAAGATTGCTAGAACTCATATAGCAATTTGGTAGCATGGCAGGATACAAAATCAATGCCCAGAAATCAGTGGCATTTCTATACACTAACAATGAGACTGAAGGAAGAGAAATGAAGGAGTCAATCCCGTTTACAATTGCACCCAAAAGCATAAGATACCTAGGAATAAACCTAACCAAAGAGGTAAAGGATCTATACCCTAAAGACTACAGAACACTCTGAAAGAAATTGAGGAAGACACAGAGATGGAAAAATATTCCATGCTCGTGGATTGGAAGAATTAATATTGTGAAAATGTCCATGCTACCCAGGGCAATTGACACATTCAATGCAATGGCTATCAAAATACCATGGACTTTCTTTAGAGAGTTAGAACAAATTATCTTAAGATTTGTGTGGAATCAGAAAAGACCCCGAATAGCCAGGGGAATTTTAAAAAAGAAAACCATATCTGGGGGCATCACAATGCCAGATTTCAGGTTGTACTACAAAGCTGTAGTCATCAAGACAGTGTGGTACTGGCACAAAAACAGACACAAAGATCAATGGAACAGAATAGAGAACCCAGAAATGGGCCCTCAACTTTATGGTCAACTAATATTCGACAAAGCAGGAAAGACTATCCACTGGAAAGAGGACAGTGTCTTCAATACATGGTGCTGGGGACATTGGACAGCCACATGCAGAAGAATGAAACTAGACCATTCTCTTACCCCAGACACAAAGATAAACTCAAAATGGATGAAAGATCTAAATGTGAGACAAGAATCCATCAAAATCCTAGAGGAGAACACAGGCAACACCCTTTTTGAACTTGGCCACAGCAACTTCTTGCAAGATACATCCATGAAGGCAAGAGAAACAAAAGCAAAAATGGACTATTGGGAACTTCATCAGGATAAGAAGCTTCTGCACAGCAAAAGAAACAGTCAACAAAACTACAAGACAGCCTACAGATGGGAGAAGAGATTTGCAAATGACACATCAGATCAAGGGGCCAGGCCAGGCCAGGCTGGGGGACAGGGTTTTCACGTTTCTCTGAAGAGCAGTGGAGACTTGTTGGAGGAATTGAAGTGAACCGTTAGTCATGTTAGCGGTAATTTGGAATACCCAGAAAGAGGATACTGCAGAGCCTCTAAGCTTTACACTGTCATATGAGAACTGTGGATTTTGCTTTTTGGTTTTTGTTTTTAGTGAGGGAGAGAGGCAGAGGGAGAGAGGATCCTAAGCAGGCTCCAAGCCTGGTGCAGAGCCCTGGGACTTGATCTCACAACCCTGAGATCCTGACCTGAGCAGAAATCAAGAGTCAGATGCTTAGCTGACTGAGCCACCCAGGGGCCCCAAGAACTACAGCTTTTGGAGCCGTTCCTGAGAAATCCGAAATATTAACCACCCCAAGGACATGTGAAGGGAAAGCCACTCCAGGAAAATCCCTCAAGTAACAGAGTAGAGGCAGTCAAGGCTTGGGGACCGGGGGCTCTGGGAGACCCTCATACCTACTTACTTGCTGGCCCTAGGAACATTTTTCAAAGTGATGCAGAACTTTTCTTCTAGAGTATTGTTATCTTAGATTTCCTAGCAGCATCGTCAGGTAGGGCAAAAACCTAGAGGTAACCACGTGGAACATTCTAGAACTGAATCTGGAGTACAGGTGTCTTCCCAGGGCCTCGTCTCCGCAGTGGCAACCCTGGGTGACGGTCAGGTGAGGGGCTCCTCCCTCACTGTCTGGGGCCAGGACTGTACACAGGAGCACGTCCGGTCCCAGCTCTTAGTGGTTCTTCAGAGCAGGGACCCAAATTCCGTCTGAGCCTTACTGTGAGCTTGTGCCCCGGCCCCCAACACCTATTCTGCTTCCAGGAGCTTTGGGGAACATTGTGTGGCTAAAAACTCCACGCGTTCAAAACAAAACAGAGCAGAAACCCCATGGTGAAGTGATTGGAGAAAGGCCTTTTATGTGTCCAACAACTCAGTCACCTCTGGCTCGTCATAAACAGAATAATCCAGCTCATTCGCCCAGGAGAAGGTATCTCTACAGGGCAGCCTTTCTGTCTCTTGAAAAGCTTTGGGAGGAATTTAAATTAATTCTTATTTGGCAGGAGCTTCCTTCTGCATTGTGATTACCTCCAGTCAGAACAAAGGGTCTGATGACTGCAGCAAGCCTTGGGACTGGGTACGGCAGCGTGGCCGATCACAGCTGTATACGTGTGAGCCAACGTGTGTGTGTACGCGGGTGTTTTCTAATCAAGTCCGCAATTCTAGTAGTTCTGTGGTTTGAGCTGGGAGTCGTTTTGATCCTTCCTGTTTTTCCTTCAGGATATTTGCAGATGGCTTCAAGAGCAGACCCCTCGTGACCCATTAGTCTCCGCAGTGTCGGTGCATCAGCAGCAACGGGGTGACGTCTGTGTGCGAGGTCCCCATCCTCACGTCCCCTGGAGGGCTCTGCATTTTCCTCTTTGAACTGGACAGCTGCATGTGAGGAGTTGATTTAACACAGTGAATTGTGGATGTTCCTTCTGAAAGCTTTCAGGTGCACCCCAAACTGTTACATCTTCCCAGGAAGGTGACGAGAAAGGAAGAGGGGCTGTTTCAAGGCTCTTACCTTCTTTGTGGGTCATGGACCCCAGTGAATCTGGGAAGACCTCTGAACCGTCTCTTCAAAAGAATGTCCGGGCTCACACTTTCCCACACTATCTTTTTCTTGCTCTTACCTCCAGGCTCTATGTGAGTCTGGAATTGCCAGACCTTTTGATTTTTCAAGACAAGTCAGAAATATAGATTTTTGTGCGATCTTTTTTTTTTCTGTCATTATTTTAAAAAACCATGCAGCCAAATTAATACCTCTCCAGGCCGTTCTAGATAGTCACAAAATCTTCATCTTACGTAGGGTCTCTGAGTTCCATGTGATTTACTTATCTGTTTGGTTTGGCTTCACTTTTTCCTGGGAGGCTTTCCTCAAAGGCCTGGTGATCTTGGCTGAAAATTCAGTGGGTGGGGGTTTGCTGTGGGTGATGGATGGGGAGTATACACGGGTATTTCTCTTTCCCAGAGAAGAGGAGTCCGGTCTCCTAAGGGAGGAGGAGGGGGGTGGAGTATGAAGGGACACAGGGAGGGAGAATGTAGGTCTTCCTAAAGTTGGATGCTACTGTCAGAGGAGCAGCTCGTTTAGTGGATGGACTGTTGCTAATTCCCCTGCTTTCAGTTTTATGCTTCATCCCACTGCCTTGAAGTCCAGAGAGTCCTCTTGTTAAACTTTTCCAAAGCACAGAGCCCTAGTCCTCTGTGGGGTTAGATGCCTGGCCTACACAGGGATGAGGAGAGGTGCTGGAGGTGCTTTTTAGATAATCTCTGCTTTGAACCTAAGACCCACCCCTGCCTTCTTGTCACCTGGTGCCTTCAGGTGTCGAACCTCTCAGGGATTCCACAGACTGTTATCTTTCCAGTTTCTTCACCACTGTTTTCTTTCTCACATTCTGTACACACCTCCTGTTCTGAACCCTACAAGTTATCCCTCAGCTCTTCTTTTTTGGCTTCAAGTTTCAACACAGAGTAGCTTAATGTTGCTGCTCTGGTATTTTTCAAGCCCTGTCACCTGGTGACTTGTCCTGCCACAATCACTGCTGCTCCTTGACCGGTGCTGCTACCCCAGTCTTGGGTGTCTCTCCGTTCTTCTCTTTATCACACACAGGTCACAGTGGATTCTTGACCCTTGACCTTTCCTGTGGCTTCTTGATCCCAGTGGCCTTTCTCCTTTATCTTGATCCCAGCCACTCCTTTATCTCATCAGCTTGCTCCTCTTACGTGATCTCTCCTAGATTCTATATATATGCATCCCCGAGGGACCCGCCCACGGCTCTCTTCTGAAATGAACATAGCCAGGTCCATGTGCACAGCTGTGACCTGTCACTAGGCCATCCTGGATCTGCGTTGTGATCCCCAGCCCTCCCCTGGGATTTAATCTAGTTCCTATAAATGCCTGTTGCAGATGCTTACGTGAAGATCCTGCAGAAACCTAGATTCACAGGTTGAAAACCAAATCCATCTTCTCTCCCACAACCGGCCCTCCTGTCCGTGCTTTCCATGTTTGTTAAGGGTGTTCATTCAAGTTAAAGTCCTTAGGGCCTCAGATTCTAATTGGCTGCAAAGTCATCGCAAGTCTCCAGGGCCTCAGAATCTGTCCCCTGTCTTTTGTTCCCATTTGCATTGCCCGTCTTTAGGACTGCAGCACCCCTGCTTGAAGGATCATTCTTACAGCTCTTCCTGCCTCTGCCTTATCTTCTCTCTACTTGGTCTTCTACACCTGTAATGCCCCAGTCCAGGTCCAGTGGCATCAAAATGAACCAAGAGTTTTTAAAAATGGCGTATTTCTGTACACCTCTACTCAGTGATTGTGATTCATTGGCTCTGGGTTGAGACGCCAGAATCTGAATTTTTCAGGATGAGTCCAGTGAGTAAAGCAAATTTAGAGCAATATTTGCTGAATGTATTATTTATGCTTCTAGCACAAAGAGCAATGCTATGTGATTCTTTAAAACAGATGTATGCATATATCTCTATGTTTCTTTGTATAAACACGGACTAGAAGGATATCCACTGAAGGGAGTGTTTGTTTCTGGGGAAGGGAACAAGGTGGAGCTCAAGGGTAGGGATGGTTTATTTCTCTTAAAAATCCTAAAGCTACCGTGGCAAAACATCAACGTGATTTTATTATGAATGGGAAGGGTTATATTGTTGTTTGTACTTGTCCTTCTGTATTAAGCAATTTTGAAACTCTGCAGATGATCCTGATACGTACCCAGGTGTCGGCTCTGGGGTACCACCTGAAAGTACAGACGTGACCACATCACGCCTATTTGAAAGCCTTCCATGATTTCCATCTCCTACAGAGTCCATTTCAAATTCCTCGGCATAGCATTCGAGATGCTGGCCTAGCTTTTTAGCTTACTTTCCATTACTCACCATTCACTCAGTCAGTAGGCCGGAAAGCTCCACTCTTTCTTCTTGGAAGCTGGAAAATGCCATTTGCTTTCACTTGGCTCTTTTTGAGATTTTGCTTCTTCTGTACTTAATTCTCTTCCCTGGCTTACTGCTTTTGCTCATCAAAATATTGTGTTTCCTTCAAGATCTCTCCTAAGTTCTGCTTCTTCTAGGAAATCCTCACCCTTTTCAAAACTTCCATTTCTGGATTTCCCCTAGAATTTCACCTATACTTCTATGATACTTACAGTATTGTATTAGTCATTGTTACTCACTTTTGTGCTTATCACATCCTCCCCTGTCCCCAAACATAAGTGCTTGAAGGTGGAGACTGTATTATTTATTTACTCAATATACCTTTTATTGATCAGATATTCCTGAGTGCATGTTATATGCAAGACTCTGCGCTAGATTATGGGGAAGATGTACGTGAGTAGAACAGAGTTCCATTCAGACTCGGTCATGAGGTTTGTGACAAGTGTTCAAGTCACTAAGGGGTGGAGAGCACGAGAATGCCTTATCTGTCTGGCAGGCTTCTAAGTTTTAAAAGAAAGAGGAATCCAGTGTGGTTGATGAAACTTGTCAAAGACTAATGGATGAGTTGTTTTTTGAGTTGGGCTGTTCTGTGTAAGACATTGACAAGGGGAACATAGGTCAAGATAGTAGCTTGTTGAATTAATGAATACTTCTAGGCAGAGGGACTTGAAAGTCTTGGAGGCCTTTGAGAATCTACTTAAGAACCCTCAACAATTTGACCAGACCTTGGACCAAGTGCAAGGGAGCAGTGGAAAATAAGACTGGGTGAGGGTTTGGGGCTCATTCTAGTGGATCTGGATGCTAGGCTCTATGGAGATTGGGCTTCATTTGAAAGCCTGGGGACAAGGTTGTGGCATGATAGGGCTCTATTTAAAGCAGCAGCGTGTGGCATGGTCAGGGAAGGAAGCTGGCAGACTGGGAAGGAGACTGGGGATTCAAGCTGGGGCCAAGGTAGTCAGGCAGCAGGCATGGGAAAGAGGAGACAGGCATTAAGCACTTTTGTAGGATAGAACTGATTGAATTGGACTTCTTCACTGCAAGTTACAGAGCTGATGGGAACCCAGGAGCAAGTGGGTGAAGGCCCTTGAACATGACTCAAAGAGTTCATCCTGGGTCCTGAGTAGGAAACGAGCCTGTTAATATGAAGAAGAGCACTGGGAAGAAGATGGGGTTTCCTGGTACAGATGATGTGTTCTGACTTTGGATATTTAGTGAGTTTAATAATATCCCCCCTCCCAAACTAGATATATCTAAATCCTAACCCCCAGTGCCTGTGAATGTGCCCTTACTTGGAAATAGGGTCTTTGCAGATGTAATGAAGGATCTTAGGATGAGCTCATGCTGGATTTCAGGGTGGGCCCCAGAGCCAAGTGTCCTTCGAAGAGAGAGGGAGATTTGACCAAAAACCCGGGGAAAGGGCATGAGCAGACCGAGCAGTTATGTAGCTCCACACTGAGGAGTGTCAGCAGCCACTAGAATGTGGAGGAGGACACAGGCTCTCTCTGAGCTTCCAGAAGACACCGACCCTGCTGACACCTTGATTTTGGATTTCTGACCTTCTGAACTATCAGAGAATAAACATCTGTTGCTAGTCACTAAATTTGTGGTAGTGTTATGGCAGCCCTGGGAAACATACAGAGATGCTCAGATTTTAAAACAGGACAAGAATGGACCAACCTTGAACCCCTCCCTGTAACTTTGTTGTTTTGTATGATCCACTGAATCCACTGTGGATATTCATTGTGAAGATCCTGTTGCTGTTGTGAGTTTGGTGAGGGGGGTAAGGGTCAGGGAGAGGAGCGAGGTGTGTTTTTGATTACATGAGGCAGGGAGAGAGTGGATTTGCTACCTTACAGGGAAAACTATTTCAAAAGCAAGAAGCAATCAGTAATTGAGCCTTTACCAAGTTTCTATTTTGTGTCCAATGCTATGCTGGGCTCTGAAAAGAATATGAGTAAGATTCCATATGGACTCTTGAGGTGCTCACAGCTCAATAATTGAAACAGAGCCATTAGCAAGGTGAATGTGTAATCAATTGTTAAGAGGTATAAGGAAGATTGAACTGGATGAGGAATATTTATTTTTTATTAATTGGATACTTAAATTTAAAAAATTCATCACTGAGTTTGAGATTCTGTGACAAAGTCACTCAACAGGATGTGTCCCTTGATTCCCTTAAGGTCAAGTTACCCCTTGGTTGAAGGCATGGTGCCTGCTGATTTAACATGCAGAGCTTTGGAGTTTGTAGGCTGAAAAAAATCATCCTTTCTTTTTTCATTTCCTTGCTAGCAAAGTGCTGTGCAGCCCACAGAATCAGCAGGGGGTGGAAGCACAATCACCCTCCAGTAATGGGAACTGAATAAATTCAAGTACTGTCTTATCTAAATGGTTTGACAAGTTCCCATTCGCCCGGCTAATTGCATCAGTCTGCTCTCCTTTTTCTTCCATGGGGCTGGGATTTG